TAGTTACATCTGCAACAATCCCATTTCCAAATGAAGTCACATTCTATGGGGTGCTGTACATCAGAACACGAGCACATCTTTCAGAAGTATATAATTCAATCAAAAACTGCCATTATCTGCCAGGTGCAAAGACCAGGCCATCTTACTTATCCTGACACTCTAGGAAGTTGACAGTGCACCAAATCTCTACAGAGATGACTTTGTTACTTTTCAAAATATGTGCATGACTATTTCACTCACTGGAGATTCTGATGTGTGACAGGTCTATAGTGGGAGATGACACTTTACAAAAATCAAAAAGGAAAGTGTTGCAAGTAACCATAATGCTCATTCACAAATGACAATCATCAAGGTCAATCTTAATAATAATAATACTTTAAACCTGGAAACCAAGGCCAAAAGAAGAAAAATGATATGTTCAAGGCTCACTGGGAACATAAATCAAATGATAGATTTCAAACTCAGGTCAGTCCCACCCAAAATTCATTTCCTCCCTGCCCAGGCTGTCACTCTGGGCTTGTCCTGGTCTATATGGCCAAGGTCAGTATATATATCTACAGTTTAATGAGACAAGTGTAAAAATAGGTGTGTATTTGTGTGTCCTCTATGGATTGCTAGTGTAGAAAGTTCCTCTGGGTACAGATATGTGGCTGAACATCTTTGTAAACCCCCCATCACCAGAGAATGGTTTCTTTCTCAGAATATCCACTGACACAGTAAGGTTGTCACTTATAGTCAATAGCTGTCACTCTCAATGCTGTCTGAAGTTCCCTGGTTCTGGGTCCTCAGCCCACATACATAGAGAGAAGAAATGAATGGAAATGTAATCAATAAAATCAAAACAAAGTCACTAAATAAAAGTGTTCCTCGCTGGAATTTTATTTCAAGTTTTTCAGCCTAGAATCCTTCCGAGTAGAATCCTTCTACTCCAATTTCATTATATTTGCATCCTTTTTTCCCTTTCAAACCAAAAAATGAACCAGTTACTAATGTAGGAATTATTGTTGATTTGGGAACAAATTAATCCCATTAATAATTTCACAAATAATCTATAGTATTAAATGTTGCCACCAGAGAATCAAAGGAGGGGAAAGATTTTAAAGGTCATGTGTTCAGCCTTGAAGCACTGGAGCAAACTCTACTATAACAGTCCCAGGTCTTCTGAAATCACTACCTTGCATTCAACACTGTCAACCCACAAACATCAACCAATGTGGCCACAGGGGGCCCTGGCTTTGCAGGACAGCTTTGGTTTTAAATAGATGCTCCAATGTCCCCATAATTAGGGTGAGCATCTTGGACACAGCTCTGATTTACCCTTAGTGTTACAACAGCCAACAATCTTTAAATTTGCCTTGGTTTAGATAACACATTTTATGGTCTTGCTTCGTAAGTACCCTAAATTTATAATATGTTCCAAGTTTTGGTTCAGAAAACATGGAGACACATCCCAGCCTATCCATCTTTTCCCTTGTTCCCCAGCACATGTCCTTTGGTGGGCTCATACAAGGCTCATGATTGCTGCCTCCCTTGTAAAAAGCCTGCTCATGTTCTTCTCCCTGCCTGAAATGTTCTCCTTCCCTGACTCCACTTATATAAATCTTAACCATCTTTGAAAACTGAACTCCTCCAGCCCCATTTCCATGTCGCAGCTTGTCTACTTCAACCCACACTGATTTCTTCCTTCCCTGACCTTTTATTAGTGATATTTGCTATGCTTAAATAGGTGAGGAGGAGGGAGGGGGGATTAAGGGAATAGAGGGGGTGAATTATCACAATGTAAGCCCCCTTGTATGGTTAATATATGCTAATAAAATAGTAAAAAAATAAAACAAAATAGGGTAAGGGGAGAAAGGCCTGTCTTCAGTGATAGATTTTCTCCCCCCTGAGCATGCTGCTAGTACTTTGTTCAGAAGCCTGTAGGTAATGCCTGCTTATGATAATTTGGTCCCAATCTAACAGGTAGGCATTCAATCGTGATGCACTGGAAGAAAAGAGAACACAATACATAATCTATATGTGCATGCAGTTTTTATTTTTACAAAACTATTTGATTCTAAGAAAGTTGCAAATAGATCATTTGAACTAGAGGCTCCCTTACAGATTTCCTTGTCTGAACTCTTACCTAAAGTAGGTGCATTGCCTAAATCCTTGGAATATGGCCATCCAAGTCATCCATGAACACATCTTTTGAGCCTCTCTCTCCAAGTGTCTTCTTCCTTGGCTTGTTAAAGTACTTATACTAGAGTATTTCTCAAAACTAGATTTGTGGACCATCTGCACCAGAATATTTGAGGGTCTTGTTAAAATCACAGATTTCCAAGTCCAACTCCAGGCATAACTGAATCAGCATTTGGAGAAAGGAGGAAAACAGCAATTTGCATTTTTCAAGGGAGTCCCCAGTGATCCTTATGTAAAGCAAATGGTGAAATCCAGTGTTGGAGTCAGCGGATGCTAGATCTATAACATGGTCCCATTTCCTTACTACAGACATCAACTCACCTCTTTTCTTCCTTGCCTCCTCAGTACTCATTTATAACCCAAGATATTTAAATTTCTGTTACAAGTCTCCATACCCTGAACCAACTTGGGCACCTTCCTCTGGCTCCTTTGCTGCTTGACAATGCCACTCTCAAAACATGATGTTCAAAGGTGTCATATACCTCACAATGTGAGGTGGGAAAGAGAGCTGGAAGGTTTTTAATGCCTTTACTTTACATTACAAAATTCATGAACTGTACCCACTTTCACTCCTGCCAGCCGATCATAAGACTGCAGCCTAAACCAATCACCAGTAAGTGAGACCATTTCATAAAACTTTACTAACTTACAAGGCATGTGATGCTGAGAACCGGAGTTGCTTTAATTCGTTTATAACTTTACATTAGCTCTAGCATTCTTTCGTGGGTTGACTATGCCCATCCTTTCTGACTTTTCCTTTTAATTTGTCATGTCAGTTACTGCACCAAGTGAGTCCCTTCCATGCATTGCCTTGCCAAGTCCTCAGACAGCATTTCCTGGCTTTATGGATGAAGAGACTGAGTTTAACCTAAAGAACTTAGGATGAGGGGACACAGTGAGGTTTTCTGTTTCCTCACTCATTTATTCCTTTGTCTAATCAATACCTTTTGAAGAAAAGCTCTTCATTTTCCTGACACTTTGTGAACTGCGTCAATGGGGCCAACTATGTGGGGTGAAGATAGGAGGAAGGTTGCAAAACACCGAAAATTCTCACAACTCTGTTCCCTAACACTCCTGCTGAAAATTCCCTTTATTCTCTCTGTGGTTTCTCGTGCTATAGAGGTTAACAGTGACCCAACAATAATCAGTGGGTAGCAGGTAGCAGTGGTATTTACAGAAGCAGGTGCAAGGATGTATGTTTTATATTTATTCAAATACTTGTAAAGAGAGGTGACATATAACCATCCCCAAAAGTATACCAGAAAAGAAACAAAGGGAGCAATTCAGAGACAAGGCAGAACTCTGCAACAAATTAGTCCACTGGTTGACAACAGGATCAGTATAAAGTATAACACAAGTAAGATGTATCCCATTTTTTCCATTCTATGTTATCGGATATCCCAAGACCAGTGTTTATGCAATTAATGGAGACACTAATGTTAATTCATTATTTATAGCATTTTAGTCCAAACAGCAGAGCTTCTCATGGATTTGGTTAATTTAATCAAATTCAATACAATTATACTTTAATTAAAAATACATATGCATAAAGTTCAAATGATATTTAAATCACTTGAATTTACAACAAGATTAGAAGAAATGCAAATGATTAATTACAGATCTGAGCTACAAGCAAAAACTAAAAGTAATTTAATTCTACTCTCTTTTTCTATTTAGACCTTTATTCAAAGGTCACTGAATGCTCAGTGTCACACAGTGACTGATAACACTGAGATTCAAATCTAGGTTTCTTGACTTCAAATCCATAGCCTGTTCATATGGGCCTTCCTTGATCTTTTAGTATTCCCAATTTCCCTCAAACAAATCCCAGTTTTCCCCAAAACATCAAATTTTTTTCAAACAAAACCTATAAACTAAAGGTCAAAATTGCTATGTCTTGGTTCAGGGACTTTGCCATTTCAGGCAGCCTAACAAAAGTCCTTAGGGGCTGTGTGTATTCTTTTATAAGCTTTGTTAAAAAAAAAAACCTTCAACTTCTTCTGTATTAGTTATCAACAGAAACATAGTCACTTGCAATTTCTTACACATAACAAACAAACGTAACAAAAAATTGTAAGGTACTACTCCCAAAATAAGAGATATACTTTTTCTTGTTCCTTTACTATTTTAAGTTCCCCCATTACTCTCTTTTTAGGCCAATAACTTTAAACTATGTAAAACGTTTAAGCTCACTTTCTCAACACTCAAGATTTAGCTCCCCGTCACTTACTGCATGGTCACCAGGCACTCTCCTTGGAACCTAAAGAGAACATTAGACCTCAAAGCAAATTGTCCTAAACAGAGATTAAAATGGATTTTAACAAGCAGAGGATACTCTCATTGATCTGGCTGTGGATTGTTTATATCAATTCTAGAACTGTATCTTGTAGATCGAAGTCTGGATTATTTGCTAGCTCACACCCACCCTTAGCACCATGAGTCATCCCCATCTCCACAGACACTGGCTATCACCCCCTCCTCCACACACAGACCTTACCCCACTCCACACCCCTTCTCATTCACATTCTCCCACCCCTCCACCCCAGATATGGTCCTTAAGCAGCATCTTATGCCAAGGTCTCACCTACACAGTCAAACCCTAAAGCTACTAAAACTGACAACCTGGAAGCCATGGTAACTTGATAAATGCTGTGTGAACCTTGACAGCATCAGAAGGTATTCCATCTCATAAGGACAGGCTCTTTTACCCTGTGACGGTATCTCCCATCCTGGGAAATTCGGGCATGGGGGCCCCTTCTGCCCTCAGTCTTAGAAGCTGTCCCCCGAAAGACAGAGGGGGAGTCTGGGAACACACTCACAGCAAATCGGACTTGGCAGTTCTCCTCTCCCAGGTAGCAGAGATCGCCTGAGACGTTGGTCTCCAGCCACAGGTGCTCCCCGTTCACAGCATTCTCCTGCAAGGAAAAGACCCACCTGCTTCAGTTTTCTCTTCAGGGATAAAGAGGAAGACCTCAGCCTTGGATTTGGATGTAAGAAAGTTAGTGACCCCAAGGAGTTCAGCACTTCTCATCAGATCCCTCAAAGTACTGCTGGAGATGATCCTACAGAAATTCTAGAATTGGAAACAAGTGTTTGGAAAACTTTGTCTGAGCTCTAACCAAAGTAGACACGAGGTGTATAGCTGCTTTATCCATGGATGAAGTCATCTTTAAGCACAGATTCAACAAATGAGGGAAAAACAGTTGTGACAGCACAATGCAAAGTCTTATTTACCCAGCCCCACTCTGAAATGCCATGACAATTGTAATCTATTAAAAGTTGCCTTTCCTTAGGGAATTAACTAAGAAGGAAGATGATAGTGTTAAAGCACTTTAAGTAAAGACTGTTTGAAAACTGATTCATATCAGTGATGGAAAAATTACACTTACAAGGGCAAAGGTTTCTTAAAACCTAAGTTTATGTCCCTGGTCCTCAATGCATAATAAATTCAAACATTGTACTAATTCCGTAAAGCTTCCCACCTACTTAATTCTAAATTTTTCAAACTGAATAATTTTACTGCTTCTAAAAATACTCACGTATTTCTGATGGTTCTCAGAGCTGCTATGATATATTTTATGATGAGCAATGACACCTGTTATCTAAAAACTGTCACCATTTAATTGGAGACAGTGGGGAAAACACTTATCTTTTAAAGCATGATAAATAGAATTCCATATTGCTTCTTATGACACACTACCTTGGAAATGATAAATTTATGTAGTAATTGAATACTTTATTTGTTTTAAAAGGGCTCTGAGATATCAGGGAACACATGGTATTAGATTAAGCATAAAGGAACAAGACTAAGTCTATAGGTTTTATAGGAATTCCCCTCATTTCTAACTTATTCATCAGAAATACAAGCAGTTGTAGTTATTTCTCCATAGAGGATGCTATGGACTGACCCATGCTTCCTCCTCCCCTGTGATGGTCTAACGAGGTGGGGACATTTGGAAAGTTATTAAGTCACAAGGGTAGACCTTTCATGATGCAATCAGTGCCCTTTCTGCGAAGGGACACAAGAGAGATCTCCCTCTTTTCCTCTCTCCATACGCATGCGTTGAGGAAAGTCTATGTGTGCACAAAGAAAGTGGCTGTCTGCAAGCCAGGAAGACGGCCCTCAGCAGGGACCATCCTGGACTTGGTGGTCAATGCCCTGACCTTGAACCTCTAACCTCTAGAACTGTGAGAAATAAACGTCCGCTGTATATGCCGCCCAGTCAGTGGCATTTTGTTACAATAGCCTGCACAGATTGATATAGGGGATGACTTCAATAAAGAGCTTTAAAGAACAACCAAGCAATCAGAAATCCATCTTATATCTGGGCCACCTTTATCACAACCCTGCCCCAGAAGTGTCCCCATGAGAGCCCTCTGAATCTCAAAGCTCAGCCCAGAGAAACAATATAGACAACATGATGTCTGCTGGGACAATTCCAAGTACTGCCCAACCTTTACAATGACAGCATTTCTTCAGATTCAAATGGAATATACTATCCTTTCAGGGCCTGAAGTCTCAAATATTTTCAGACAAGGATAACCAAAGGTCAGATTGTGGCCTGTGATACAGCTGCTTCACCACCCAAGGAAGGTGACATAAATCCTAGAACAGCAAAAGTGAGGCACAAAAGGGTGGGAAAAGTGACTGGGTGAGTAGATGTCAAGGGCTCCAGGACATCCTGAGGTAGGGTGGTGCCATACACATCTCCAGTGCCACAAAACCATTCCTGAAAGGAAAGTGCTGGTGGAGTGGCTCAAGTGGTAGAGCACCTGCTTAGAAAGTGTGAGGCCCTGAGTTCAAATCCCAGTACCATCCCACTCCAAAAGGAAAGCAAAAAGGTTGGGAATCATCACCCATTACTTCACAGGGTGCCCACTTTTTCTGAAACTTTTCCTCCTGATGGTGATGTTACCCTGTGGCAAGTCATGCTGAATTTGTTCATGGGAGTCCTTGGGAAAGTGGACCTTGCCTCTTCTCATGGAACAGTAACAGAGGAGAATAGTCATAAGGTTGGACCCTAAAAGTTTTCACAGAGTGATGAATGATGACAACTTTGGAAAATAAAATACAAAAGCACTTTTTGTAAGCTATCCTTTAGAAATCTAACCTCACAATTGAAAATATTCTGCTACTGGAAACTTACCATCCAACTTTAACTTATAAACAACGAAACCAAACAATCCCCTTTAATTTTTTCTTTAATTCATTCAACAAACATTTATTCCTTAACACTGGTGGCAGGCACTAGAGCACTGTGGTAATTCATGGTGGCAAATGTACTAGAGAAGATGGAAAAGAATATACCTTAAGAGCAGCAAATACTAAAGAAACAATGACAGCACATATCCTGCCAGCTGTTTTAAGAAGTGAACGTGAAAGTCGAGCACAGTAGCTTATGCCTATAATACCAGCTACTAGGGAGGCAGAGACAGGAGGATTGTGGTTCAAGGCCAGTCCAGGGGGGCAAAATGTGAGACCCTATCTTAAAGAGTAATCTGGGCATGGTGGTTCACATTTCTAATCCCAGCTATATGGGAGGCAGAGGTAAAAGTATCACAGCCCAAGAATGGCCCCAGGCAAAAGTACAAAATCTTACATAAAAAATAAACTAAAGTGAAAAGGGTGTGGCTCAAGTGGTAGAGTGCTTGCCTAGCAAGTGCAGAGCCCTGCATACCAACTTCAAAAGCATGAAAATAAACAAATTAAATAATCAATTAGTTTCATTTTAAAATGTTGCAGTGGGATAAAATTGGCATTGATAATACCAATCTAGGCACACCAGGAATTAAGTTCTGGGAGGTCAGGTAAGGCAGACAGGAGCAGACATGACTCAGGAACTCAGCAGCTTCAAGCACCCCACTAACTCACCAGGCCAGGAGGTTGGATCCTTGTGCAAAGGCTGTTTGTGCCCTTGCATGTCACCTGCAAGCTTCCAGAGGCTTGCTGGTTAATCTCGTCTCAGACAAGGCACAGCAGGACTACAAAGGTTAGTTAGCCTCACTCTTGGTGGAAACCTGATTTTTAAGAGAAAGAGCTTTGGAAGGAAAAAGGGGGAGGGAGATGGAGGCTTTGCCGAATCCTGCCAGGGTCCCAGCACACTGGTTCTTAAACTTGGCTACATATTGTGAGGACCTGGTGAGCTTTTAAAAATACAAGGCTATCATTCCAGAAAGTCTGTGTTGATAGATTTGCAGTAAAACCTGGGCATCAGTATTCTTCAAATTTCCCAGAGGTGACTCTAATGTGCTGCAGAGCCCAGGAACCAGTAATCCGATGGACCCTACTCTACCTCTTTAAGAGTTTAGACAGTAGATTCTAGAACTTGTCTGTGAGTTGACTTTTATTATACTTGATACCTACTTGCCTGTACAACCACCAGAGAAGGGGAAGGTGAGAGGAAGAGAGATGCAGCATGAGGCAGTCCAGTTGGATTTTAAGGAACAAGACATGGACCCACAAATACACAGTGAGTAAGCTCAGAGTTAACAATATGGATCCCAGGGAAAATGGAAAGGGAAACAAACTTGCACAAGCCCTTAAAGAAAGAATAGAGTAAATCAAAACATTCATGTGTGTAAACTGGTAGGTTCACTTTGGAGAATATAATAAATAATAATATAATGAAGAAATAGTTCTAATGGAAAAAAAACCTATGCATCTTACCAGGTAGAAAAGAATGGTTACAAGAATATATGAAATAGAACATTATAAAACCACCAAGAAGTACAAATATGGAGAGTGGTCATATGGAAAACTATATGATATAGAGTCCATCAAATAAGAATAAAATTCAAAATTGACTGTATTTTATGATCACAGAGCTACATAAAAATAAGGACTGAAAACAACATATCTGCAGTTTGATTTGTTGACCCATATCTACTTCCACTTGCTGCCCCCCTATAATAGAAAAGTTCAACAGTGTTTCATTTATTTACTGTCTCCATTTTCTCTCTACATCACACTTCTTGAACCCAATTCCATCAGGCTTCCTTTCTTTGCACTCTGTTATAACCTCTCTTTCAAGATCACCAATGACTTCACATGGCTGCATCCAATGGCCAATGATCAGTGTCCACCTTAATCAACAGCTTTGACACAGAGGATGACTCCCTTCTTCTAGGGACACTTTTCTTCTACTCTTTTCGTCTTTGTTGTACCTTGATGGTCACTCCTTTCCAGTCTCCCTTGTTGGATCTTTCTTATTCCCAAACTCTAGACATGGAAGTGTCTGTCCCACAGTTCAATGCTCCCTCCTTTACTCTTCTGCATCTACATTAAGGCTTTAGGTTATTGCATTCAATCCTCACAGTTTTAGATTCCATCAAGTAATGATTACCTCCAAAATTACTCATTCACGAAGAACTTCTTCTTTGAACTTCAGACTCATAAACAATAGTCTTTTAAGCATCTCCACTGGAAGATCTAATAAGCATCTCAAGTTTTTACATTCGTAAAATCTCTTCATTTTCTCCATTGGTTTGCTCTTACTCAAATCTTCTCTATGAATTCTCGGTAAATGGCATTTCCATTCTTACTGTATAGGCTAAAAACTCTGGGGTCCTTTTTCATGTCTGTTTTTCTATCAGCTAATCTTATTGATCATAGTTTCAATATGTATATGGTACCCAATCACTTCTCAACACCTCTACTGTTAACCACCAGCTCTGGCGTGGAATATCCCAATGTCCTCCCCTCCCCCCAAAAAATGGTGTCCCTGCTCTACTCTTGACTCCTCATGGTTTGTTTTCCAAAAAGTAACCAAAGTAATTGCTTTAAAATGTAAATCTGATCAAGTCTCTTATATGCTCACAACTCTTCATTAGCTGTCCATGTCCATGGCAGAGTCTTCAGTCTTCCCTTACACAGTCCTCCGGTACCTCTCTGATTCCTTTTCCTATCCCTCTACTA